TGGCCCCACAAGGACAGAACAACAAAAGGGGAACTGTACGTAATGTAGACTATGAACATGAAGAGCATGATGGTGAATATGATTTGTATTCATTTAGTGTAAATACTGTTCATGTACCCACAGATGAAACAAAAGTGAATGTTGTAGTTGATAAGCAAGTACTAGATATGATTGTAGATAGTGGAGCTACTGTTAACATTGTTGATCACGAAACATGGGAAATGTTGAAAGCCAACAGAATTAGATGTAAGTCGGAAAAGACGACCAAAAGGTTGTATGCCTATGGTTCAGAATATCCATTAGATCTGAGGGGCAAGTTCACCACAAGTGTGTTGCTTTCTGGTTCAGATTCAGCAGAGACAATAGAGGCAGAATTCTATGTACTGAATGGTAAAGGGCCTGCCTTACTTGGTAGAGAGACAGCTTTGAAGCTTGGGGTGTTGAAAATTGGTGTAGATGCAGATGTGGGTGGAGTAAGTAGTGTGCAAAGTGTACATACCAAGTACCCAGAGTGTTTTGAGGGCATAGGTAAACTAACAAATTACCAGCTCCATCTGCATGTAGACTCTGATGCTACCCCAGTAGCTCAGAACATGTACCGTATACCGTATAGCTTGAGGGCTAAGGTGAATGATAAGTTGGATGAGTTAGAGGCTCTAGACATAATTGAGCATGTTAACGAGCCCAGTTCCTGGGTAAGCCCAGTTATTGTTGTCCCAAAACCCAATGGTGATATTCGTCTATGTGTAGATATGAGGCAAGCTAATCAAGCCATTAAGCGGGAAAGACACCCGATTCCAACGGTTGACGAAGTACTGTACAAAATGAATGGCAGTGTTGTGTTCAGTAAACTTGACTTAAAGTATGGTTTCCACCAAATTGAGCTAGATGAGCAATCAAGAGACATAACAACCTTTGTAACCCACAAGGGATTGTATAGATACAAGAGGCTTATGTTTGGGATAAATGCAGCCCCAGAAATGTATCAAAATGTCATTAGTCAGGTGATCGGTGTGGGTGAAGGTGTAGCTAACATATCAGATGATATTGTAGTATATGGCAAGACACAGGAAGAGCATGACCAGAGGCTAGACTGTGTCATGAGAAAATTGAAGGAGAGAAACCTGACCTTGAACAAAGATAAATGTGAGTTTGGGGTTCACAAAATCACTTTCATGGGCCACACTATGTCTAGAAATGGCATTCAGCTGACAGACGACCGTGAAGAGGCACTACGCAATGCCAGGAGACCAACCAATTCTGCCAAAGTGAGGAGTTTCCTTGGGCTAGTGAACTTTTCAGCTCGTTACATCCCCAACATTGCTACAGTGGCAGAGCCATTAAGGAGGTTGGTAAGGAAGAAAGTGAAGTTCCACTGGGGAAAAGAGCAAGAAGACAGCTTCAAGAAATTGAAAGAAGCCTTGACACATACAAATACTCTGGGATACTTTCGACTCGATGCAGACAGTACCCAACTTGTGACAGATGCGAGCAATGTCGGCCTTGGAGCCGTGCTTCTGCAAGAGTACGATGGCCAATTGAAGGTCATATCTTATGCCAGTAGAACACTGACTGATGTTGAAAAGAGATATTCAACAACCGAGAAAGAGGCTCTTGCTGTGGTGTGGGCATGCAGTAAATTCCACACTTACCTGTATGGGGTAGATTTCGTGTTAATGACAGATCACAAACCCCTTGAAATCCTATATGGGCCAAAATCCCGGCCAAACGCCCGAATTGAGAGGTGGGTGATGAAGTTGATGTCTTACTCCTTCAAAGTTAAGTACCTACCAGGAAGATATAATATTGCAGATGTTCTGTCGAGGCTTACAAAGACGACCCCTGCTAAGGAGCAAGAAACACTGCAGGATGAAACAGAACGCTATGTACGCTGGGTAGCAAGCGAGGCAACGCCGAAAGCTTTGACAACCAGAGAAGTTGAAGAAGCTTCAAGAGCAGATGACGAATTAAGTGCAGTTCGGAGATGTCTCAACGAGGACTCATGGGGAACTGATGTCAAAGATTTTTTCCCTATGAAGAATGAGCTCTCATGTATTGGTTTTCTCGTCTTGAGAGGAACCAGAATTGTAGTTCCCAAGAGTCTGAGACTACAGTTTGTCCAGTTAGCCCACCAGGGACATCTTGGAGTGGTCGGCACTAAACAGAGGTTGCGAACCAAGGTTTGGTGGCCGCGCATGGAGAGAGATGTTGAGAACTTTGTGCGGAGATGTCGTGGTTGCCAGATCACTGGAGCAATGCCTGCCCCTGAGCCAATGAACCCGACTCCATTGCCAACTGGTCCATGGCAAGACATTAGCATTGATCTACTAGGTCCATTGCCATCGCAAGAGTATGTGCTAGTGATAGTTGACTATTACAGTCGATACTATGAAGTTGATTTTATGAAGGTCACTACAAGTGATAGGGTCATTGAGTCACTTGAGAATGTGTTTGTTCAACACGGTTTACCACTCACTTTAACGTCCGATAATGGACCCCAGTTCACCTCAGATAAGTTTGAAGCATACCTCTCAGAAAATGGGATCAAACACAGAAAAGTCACTCCGTTGCATCCAGCAGCCAATGGGGAAGTTGAGAGACAAAATCGGTCTCTGATGAAAAGAATACGCATTGCACATGCAGAGAAGAAAGACTGGAAAAAGGAAGTAAGAGAGTACTTGTTTTCATACAGAACAACACCACATAACACTACAGGTGTTACCCCAGCAGAGATGATGTTCAAACGCAAACTACGAACAAGACTTCCTGAAGTTGAAGAGATGGCTAGACAAGATGAAGAGATAAGAGACACGGATGCCTTGAGAAAGGAGAGGAATAGGAGATACATTGACAAGAAGAGAGGTGCAAAAGAAAGAGATCTAGAGGAAGGAGATGAAGTCTTAGTTAGACAATCCAAACAAGACAAACTGAGTACTCCCTTCTCCCCAGAGCCATACAAAGTAGTTGCGAAAAAAGGGAACAGTGTTGTCGTTGAATCTCCAACCGGTGCCCAGTACCAAAGAAACAGTACACATGTTCAGAAATATAACAAGCCACTAAACAATCACAGTGATACACCTGACACAGAAAGTAGGGACAGTCAGCAATCCTTGGAGGGGAAGACAGAAAACACACATACACAGGTTGAGACTGAGAGTAGACCAGTAAGGGAAAGAAAATTACCCAAGCGGTTTGATGACTGTGTAATGTATCGTTAGTTTGTGATGCCTACAGAAGAAAAAAAATAGAGAAAAAAGTCAGTTTTGCTCATATGTGATTTTTCCTATTTGAGACAAAGTAGTCATGCCTTCTTATTTGTTTATTAGTATTTTCTTTTGATTGGTTGAGCAACAACTCATTTTTTCATGGAAACAGCTATTCCACAATTCTTATTAGTGTTACACTGAAAGAGAATGTTTGCTTAATTTTGGCATTAGAATTAAGTACTGTATGTATGGTGCTCAATACCTTTGGAAGACACAAATCCTGTAAACACACACATGAGATTTATGTGTATTATTTTGACTATGAATGCAGTTTAGAATTTCAGTGCATTTCTATACTTAGTATTCTGTACTGATAGTAATGGTTTATTCTCTCATTACCGTATCTTTTGGATAAATGCAAAAACTAGTTTTGTTTGTTTAATGGAAAAAAAGCTGTAACAAAGTTTGATACAGACATGTATTTTACCCAAGTTAAAAGACACTAATTCTTCAGTGTTGGCATAGTTTAAACATTGTTTGAAGAGTTAAAAGTTAAAAAAAAAAGAGAGAGAGAGAGAGTCCACATGGAAACAGAAAATTTTCAAATTCAAACTCATTGCATTGAAAACAGTTTACTGAAGTATAGATTCCCACATTACTGTTTTTGTGATGTATTCCCAAAATCTTGTATTTAATATCATTCATGTATTTGGATTCAAGATCTAAGAAAGGGAGGAGATGTAGTATCTTGAGCAAAGACTAGGTGCGCCTTGAGTTGAGACTACTATTGTGTACATTGTATTACGTGAACCGCCAAAGGTCATCACGTGACACAACATGTATAAAGTGTGAAAGTGACAGCAATAAAAGCGGACACGCACGGACTCGTAAAGATGGACTGTATGCGTCGTAGCATGTTTATTGGATTCTTATAATAATTAAGAACACTTCACCCCCCCCCTTCTCTTTAAGCACATGAGTTCTAGTCCACTAATGTGCGTGGGAGAAATGAATGCCTGTAGCACTTTTGTTTGCTCGGATTGTTTTGAAGTTGATAGTGGAAGGTGAAGTTTAATTGTCTGGTAGACCGGTGGACCGGACGCAAGATATTTCTTGCCGAGATTTCGTGCAACGTTCCGGCCGCCTATTGTAGCAGTAGCTTTGGTCATCCAAGTGAAGATCCTTTTTTATGGCAGTACTGCAGCTGCGAGCTGCGCTATTTTGGACTCAATGGACTGCTTCAAACTTAATTGTCAGTGAGGATTTTTGGTGTGTGGGTCCCATACAGAAGAGCAGTCAAGTATTAGCCGTCCAAGTGTTATTGTCTTGTACGCCACGTCTTTGAAAATTTTATGAGCATGAGTACATGCATAAGCTCCCTGGCCATGTTCAGTCGCTGACTAATTATGTTATGATAGCCCGAATAGTAAAACGAAGCCAAAATTAATAAATGGAATATTAAGTTCCTGAATTTGTTCTCCATCAGTTGCCTCAGAATAACGCATCATTGAGTTCAAACTTTTCAGGGGGTGTGCCTCCCCCAGCAATGCGTGCCTTCTGTTCCCCAAATCCAAGTAACGTCTGCCTTCGGCACGCCTTCAATCGACCCCCTATCAATCCCCCCCCCCCCCGTTTCCTGAAAGATAGATCCGCCCCTGCAAGTCCAGCCTTCGCAAATTTGAAATTGCGGACGTAAATTTGAAATTTGCGACGCGTGCGAATAATGCGCTCAGTACCCCACCAATTGGTGGCGCTCTGTACTGGACCGTGATAAAAAAATGGTGAGAACTGAGATTGAAGAAGAATGACATGAATGAAGCCTGAACTTAGGCTAAATTATAGGTAAGGAATGAACTAGTGAGTTTTTGTTTTTGAGTGCCTTTTGTTTAAAATAGAATGTTCCGCCTTGGGATATAAGCACAATGTAAACTGAATTTACAAGCATAATGGGACCAAATTGAGCAATTTGTGATAACGACATGAACGACGGCCTGAGGAATGTTCTTATTCCTCCATGGGCCTACATAGCCTAACGACGTAGCCCGACTGCGTCTGGCCGTACGGCGGTACTATCGCAAGCTCTGTAGTATAGTACCGTACGGCCAGACGCAGTCGGGCTACTATCAACGACGTTACTGACATTTGACTGACTTTTATTTTCGTTATTTGCAATTGTAGCTCACTACATGTCATGCATGTAGCTGGGAGATTTTTGGGTCACCGAAACGCTATGGATGGGATTTTAAATCCTGGCTGTGTTGATTTAGTCCGAGTAACTTGGACCCAACTTATCACCTTTTTAACATTCGGACATGGTTTGGTGATAGTAGGGTCCAAGCTAATCCTTATATGCTGAGCAACACAATTCCGTCATTGACCCAAAAACCCAACATTCACACATTGCCCAACTAAACATCAGATTTCAACCTCAAAACGGCCTCCAAATTACTAGATACGCCACCTGAGGTACAAGTAGACATCGATAATTAAGATGAGTGTACTAAACTTTAGTACACTCATCTTACTTTATTTTAAAGTTGACTTACGATCCGGATGAAAAGTGAAATTTCATGTTCAATTCTGAGAGCTCCCCTCGCGATCGTGAACACGTTTAATTTCCGATTCGTGTTAATGTTTGAACGACGTGATGTGGTCTTCATGCCCAGCGTACATTCGATGGTTCCCGTATCCCGAGTGCGCCATGCGATTCCGTTACCGAGCGCGCGATGCATCGATTATAATAATGAGTACATGTAGAATGGATCACATTTGTAAAGACAAGTGCATTTCGAACGGTAAAAGGGAATCGGGAACCAGCTTGAACTGGTATCCGCCATAAAAGCTGCCCTAGTTCAGGATACGGGAACCATCGAATGAATGCTATGCACGAAGACCACATCGCAATTCAAACACGAATCGAAATTTAATGTGTTCACGATCGCGAGGGGAGCTCTCAGAATTGAACGTGAAATTTCACTTTTCATCCGGATCGTAAGTAAACTTCAGTACAACCATCTTAATTATCGATGTCTACTTGTACCTCAGGTGGCGTATCTAGTAATTTGGGGGCCGTTTTGAGAGTGAAATCTGATGTTTTGTTGGGCAATGTTGGTTTTTTGGGTCAATGACAGAATTGTGTTGCTCGGCATATAAGGATTAGCTTGGACCCTACTATCGCCAGACCATGTCCGAATGTTAAAAAGGCGATAAGTTGGGTCCAAGTTACTCAGGCTAGTGTTGATTGAGGAATTACTTCACACAGATATTGTTCGAAAATGGGACATTACACTGGCGATCGTGAAGTGTAGGGCCCGGTTCCTATAAGGGCACAAAATCCACTTTAAAATTATTGGACCTACCAAACTAGTTGGGGACATTTTCAATAAACAGGTATGTCATAGATAGAGGGCAGGGTTTTGATTTTTTTGAGGGAAATTTGGGGGTAAAATTACGATGACAGCGCGGCGACAACACGCGACCCCGTGAGCACGCACCGATGTACCGTGAGCACGCACTGCGCGGCGCGCTGAATCACAAGGCACAAGCCGCGCAGGAAAATCGTGATTTCTGTCCCAAGAACCTGTTCAAAATTGCAAAACGGGTGTCATTAGAATTGAGAAAAGTCTGCTTTTGATTGTAAAGGTGATTTTTGAGCAATAAAAAAACATTTTTGACTCTAATTTGATCAAAACAAAACAGGGGCCCTACACGATCGCCATTACACTCAATATACAGTACTAGCACTAGAACTAGACGTTGTTATGGTTGTATACCCGATAACCCTCATAAGTCAGAAATTTCGGACTTATGAGGCGTCAGACTTACAATGTATGAGGCATAAAATTTATTTATCCCGCCTCATAGGTCCGACGCCTCATAAGTCCGTCAACGGAAAAACGAGGCGTTTAATTTATCGGACTTACGAGGCGTCGGAGCTATGAGGCATCGGACCTTTGAGGCGTCAGACTTATGGGCCTTTATTTGGTTAGGGGATGCAATTTTGTCGGACTTATGAGGCGTCGGACCTATGAGGCTTCGGACTTATGAGCGGACCCCGCCGCGAGAGGGCGCTATCATGACCAACCAATATCGCCCACGGACTTGTCAGAACAACGTCGAGGGAATCTGCTGAAATCTCCCCCCGAAAAATGGGGGAAACTAGTGCACATGCGCGACTTCTGCAGGCAATTATGGTCCATTTTCAGTCCTACACAAACTACACACAACAAAAGAGCTGCCAGTGAAGTTGCACAAAGGTCTGGCTGCATCTTTTATTGCACTGGAAGCAAATTTAAGAGTTTGCTTCGGAACTACATGTATTATAATGTTTTTGAATTGCACGCTGCATATAACATGTATAAGGCCAAACAGGTGGGCCTACTCGACTGCCTCCGTCTAATGGAAAGACAAGTCTTCTGTTGAGACAAATTGACTCGCAGTAAGCATCGATGATTCAAATTTGCTTGAAGATAAATATTCATGTACATTGTACAGTGATTTTTTCTGTATCAATTTTATTGTTAGACTTAGTCCTTTTTGTGGGCGGGGGGGGGGGGGAATTTTTTTATTTATTTTTTTAAAGAACTCTATTGATACATTTGTAGCATTACAAATTTGTCACTCTTTCATTTTTCAGGATTGGCCTGACCTGACATCCAACCACAGACATGTTCCTGTGATTTTGTGAAGCTCGCTAACTTCTATAATTATTTTGCAACAGTGAACTGCATGCGTGCCTTCAATTTAATTGAACAAACTGTAGCCTACTTCACCATTGGAGCTGACAGCAGGACAGTTCATTGTAATCGTGGTGAACTATCAAAATCAACATTTACAAGAAGGTCTGTTGTTTGACATGAAACAAGGTTAGTACTTCTGCAGATGTTTACTGTACATTTTTCCAGCTTGTCTCATTTTGGCCCCCGAAAAGGGTAAATTCACCTTGTTACATTGTACCTGCACATAAACCCACAATTAAGATGGAGAAGAAGGAAGGATCAAGTCTTGAAGTAGTCAGTGTTGATAATGTCCCACTTGGTGGTGCTGATGATAAAGCATCATCAAGTAAATGTGATGAGATTCGTGAGTTGAGGCATCCAACCAGTGGGAAACAACTCTTCGCCTGTAATGTTTGCAACAAAGTGTTCTTCAGCCAGTGCTCCGTGAGAAGCCATCTAGAGCTTCACCGAGGAGACAGATCGTTTGTATGCGGCATCTGCAACAAGGTGTTGTTGAGTCAGAACGAGCTGGTGAGGCATCGTCAGAGCCACACGTTTGCGAGGCCCCACCATTGCACGGATTGCGGGAAGACATTTGCTGACAAGAGTAACTTAGTCCGACACCAGCTGGTCCACAAAGGCGAGAAGCGATTTGTGTGTGCCATCTGCGGAAAAGCATTTCTGCGTCGAAGCAACCTGACGGTCCACCACTTTACCCATACAACGGAGAAGCCTTACACCTGTCAAATCTGTGGTGATGGATTTACTAATAAGAGATACCTGTTATCTCATCAGCAAGCACACAATGAAGAGAGTTCCTTCATTTGTAGTGTGTGTAGGTCAGATTTCACCTCAAGGGAGAGTCTCGCAAAGCATCAACTCACCTGTCGCTCCAGCGAGAGAGCTAACGACGAGTACACCTGTGACATCTGTGGGAAAGTTTTCAGTGAAGAAAGTTCTCTCTCCAACCACAAGAAGACACACACTGAATATGTTGAGGGAAAGACTGTAGCTGTAGCCCAGGGCACCCATTCTCCACCAGCTCCAAAGCAGTTGGAGTTAGGGGACCAGGCTAAGACTGAGTATGACTCTAACATAAGTGCGAAGCCACTGCCTGATAACGCCACTCTTCAAGGGCCCCAGCTTACTCATTCTACGCCAGGGTCCCATGCAATCATTTGCCAAATATGTGGTGAACCCTTCGACACAACTGCAGATCTGAAACGCCATGAAACCATTCACAATAACAAGGACCAACTGTTTGTCTGTGGCGTTTGTGGTAAGGGTTTTACTAAGTTACATTGCCTGCGAACCCACCAGCGTATCCATCAGAAAGAGACCGGTCACAAATGTAATGATTGTGGTAAAGTATTCGCACAGAAGCGTATTCTACTATCCCACCAGCGAGGCCATTGCAGCCAGGCGTCATATATAAGTAGCCAAACATTCTCATCACCTAATGATCTGGAGGCACATACACTTGGTGCCAGCCAAAATAGTCCTTAAACTAAAGGGCACATTCATGTGATTTTTGCACTTGGGGCTTAATTTGTTGTCGTAGGTGCATACAGGGTGGTGCAAAAAAAAGAGGAATCCCACCTTTGACAGGAATTTTTACCTATTACCAGATTACTTTGTACTTATTTAAGTTTTTTATTTAGCTCTTCAACCACACATGGTGAAAAAAAAAAATCTTGTAAAAATCGCAAGAATAGTGTTATTATGATACATGTTATTTGAATACAAGTCACCCAAACACTGTTGTCCGCATGTAAGTCTAGTGTAGTGTTTTTGTCTTCAAATACAAACTCCTTAGTTCAGTCAAGCAGATGGAATAAAGCCATCCGTGGACAAACAGGTTTGGCACAAGAAATGTTTAAACCACCATATCTCAGAGACAAAATGTGCATTTGAAATCATTTTTTTTGTGACTTACATGTATGTTTAAAGATTGCTCAAGAAGTACATGTATAATCTAGTTGAAAATTGTTGTCAAAAGTGGGTTTCCTTCGTTTTGCACTACCCTGTATACATTCTGCAACAATGTGTTTAATCCTAAGACACTGATGTACATGTACATGGTTCATCTTCTTGTAAATTTACGTACATTTTTGTATACATGTACAACATGTACAGTATGTAGTACACTACCAGTTAGCATGGTTAGCAGCAAAATAGAAAACCATAAGGCCCCCCCAAAAAGTCTCCGGTTTCTGGTATGGAGCTTGCCCCAAAAGTAGTGCGGCGACGCGGCTTTTTTTTTTTTTACCTGTTTTTTTTTGTGCTTCAAATGTCGGCGGATGACAAAATGGCAAAATGGTGCCCGACTATTTAGTGTAAATATATGGGAGTCCAGAGAGGCCACATAAAGCTTATTCTCGATCATAACCCCATCTAAAAACACGTTAAAATTGTGCAGCATCAGGATTCCAGTCAAGCCAGTGAGTTTGGCGGTTTTGAGACATCATCTTTCATTGAAAAAGAACCTTTTTCATTTTGCCGATGCGCATGGCTACGGCGACGCGCACGCATACCAGAAACTGGAGACTTATTTTTTTTTGCCTAAAAGAATATACTCACAAACTAAATTGTGGCATTACATGTAGTAAGTGTTGTCTAAAAAAGAAAGGAATGGAATTGTATTTCAAAAGTGAGATTACAGGCGGTGACAGAAGCAGGGTTTGAACTAGTCTTGGCCCAAGACGTCAGTGGTCAAGAGCGAAAGTAGTCTTGGCCCAAGCACTAGTGATCGATATTGGACAGTGCATATAGTGCACCCTCTAATGGCACAGCAAGACCAGCGGGCCTATTCGCACTCACCTCTTTGCAGCTTGGTCATTTCGTTTCAGCGGTTTAACTTTTTCTTTATTTTCTCTCTAGAGGCTTTCCTAGGGAACCAATCAGCGAACAAGAAAAGGTTCAATGGCTCGCCCAAATGGTTGTAAACATATACGTGCAGTGATCAAGCATGGAGCTAAATAAAGGAACTATGCCTTTTCGAATTTATACGGACGGTCTTATTTGCATAAAATATACGCGCTACGTACCGGTACGAGCGGTAGGCCTACGTGTTCAAGCATCATCGCTTTCCTAGGAACCAATCAGTGATCTAGAAAAGGGTCAATGGCTCACCCGACGGTTGTAAATAGATACGTGCGGTGATCAAGCATGGAGCTAAATAAAGGAACTATGCTTTTTCAAATTTATACGGACGGTCTTATTTACATAAAATGGCCCCGCCCCATTGCTACGAAATGACCAAGACGTTTGTGAGAGAACGTAAAAAAATCAATTATGCAAGGCGCTACAGAACATTGCAACTATTGCTCTTGATCACTGACGTCTTGGGCCAAGACCAGAGCGATAGTCGCAAAGTTCTGTAGTGCCTTTGCATAACCAAATTTTTAGTTTCTCTCACTAACGTCTTGGTCATTTTTGTAGCAATGGGGGCGTGGCCATTTTATGTTATACATGTAGGACCGTCTGTATATATTATAGGACCGGCAGTTCCCATTTGCCGCAGTAGTCACACCCTCACGCAGGGGTATCACTGAGTTGCATACATGTAAGTAGCGAAGATGCTTGATCACCAAAAGTATAGGGCGAATGTTGGGCAAGCCATTGAACCATTTCCCGATTGCTGATTGGCTCGCTAGGGAGAAAATAAAGAAAAGTTAAACCGCTGATATGAAATGGCCACGACGTAACTGTGAATTAAGCCCGCTGGTCTATTTGTTGTGCCATTAGAGGGCGCACTATGCACTGTTCACTATCCATCACTAGTATCTTGGGCCAAGACTAGATTTGAACTTGACCGGGAACACCATGGCAGTGGCGTTGGGAAGGCACAACCCCCCCCCCCCCCGCACCCACCCCTTGCTAAATCATGTCTGTTTCCTCCTCCTGTCCCCTCCAATTTGGGGGGGAAGGCAAAATTAATTATTTATTGCATATTTTTAGTGGAACACACAATAAGGCCAAAAAAATTAAGTAATCGGTCTCTGGTCAGACTGAAGTTCCGGAATTGATGCGGCGACGCGTTTTTTTTTTGGGGGGGGGGGTTTTCAAGCTTCAATTGTACAGACAAGGTGGGTACTTTTTTGCTTTTTTGTGTCCTCATTATACATTGGTGTCCTCCATCATATGCCTTGGTGCCCTTTATCATTTGCCTGGGTGCAATTTCCCCATGCCTTGGTGCTCCTTGGTACAAACATTTGAGGAGGTGCGGCAATAAAGGGCGCTGTTGTAGCTTCCGTATTAATTTGAAAAAAAAAATGGTTGACGCGCACGATTAAAATCGACGCGCGCGCTGACCAGAGACCGAACATTTTTTTTTTTGGCCTAATGTCATGAATGTACATATGCAACATGGTCAAGAATGAGCCTATAGGCCTACATGCATGAGGTCATGTGTATACAGAAGGAAACCGTGCAAGGTTTTGAACAAGTTAAACATTTGTTATTCTCCGGCCTCTTGTTTCAAACAAGATCTGATTATCCAGTTTTAAACAAACTACATTGTACAATGTACATACATGTACGTTTAAAACTGGCTAGGGGCTACTTAAGGATAATGACCAGAGGTGAAGGGGGCCATTATCCTTGTCCAGGCCCCTAGCCAGTTTTAAACGTACATGTAGTTGGTAAAAAGTTGTCAAGCACTACAGACATGACAGAGTTCATGTAGGTTACACCTCTATGTTCCGACACCATGTTCCGACTGCACATATTCCTATTCCTATTCCTAATTCTAACTCTAACCCTAACTGGGAGTAACACAATCTAGGTTGTCGGAACATAGGGGTGTCGGAACATAGAGCAGTCACCTACATGTACATGTCCTGTTCATATGAAAATATCCAGAACGGCGCACCTACTGCGAGATGTGTTAGAACGCAGTGGTGTTTCGCTGGCGGTTTAAAACCACACCCATATGATGGACTCTCAACCAATACATGTAGGAATGGATAGACTGTTTAAAATATTGATGAAAAACTTGTATGTCTACCGAATAGGAATGTGCTGTTACATGTATATAGATACTCTTACTGATGTATATATATTTGATATGTAGGCCTACACGTATGTACTGTATATTCAACACAACTGTATTACTTGTGTTACAAATGTACATTGAATTCATGGATGCTCCTTTTGTGCGATATGAACAAAATCTAGTGGTCGAAACAAGGATGACTACGTACATGTATGTAATAAGCGATAACCTTTTACAAAGTTAATCCTGCACAAAAAATAATGGGCTTCCGTTTTAATTATAGCACACACAATTTACATGTAAGTTGCACAGTGTATTTTCATAATCATATTGTTACAGTATTATTTCAAATTTATCTTGCCATGTACATGCATTTTATGTGTTCATTGAGTAGTCAGGCAAACCCAACCACTGTTTAGAATTGTCCTGATAAATCGTCTTGTTTGTTTATTTCTTTGTTACCAGAATTGCAATAGAAATAAAATTTAACCCCAAACAGAAATAGTTTACTACAGTGAAGTGTTAAGCGAGGAATGCCAAACACAAAACAGAATGATGATGTCATACTTGAACATGTTGAAAGTGAGCCCTCTAGCGGCACATCAAATAGGCCTATAGTTTAACTTTTTAAAATTTTAAAATCACCAATCAAAAGTTTACCAAATTACCCCAATATTAGCTATTTGTAAACAACCACAAATGATTTTGCAAGGTTTCATAATCATGACGTCATCAGACCAGAAGTTACTGTCTGACTGTAGGAAGAATTTGACAGTGATAATATTTTTTTAAATTTTAAATCCATTGTTTGGTCCCTGTCTCATGACTATGTTCCTGCTTCAAATAAAGACATCCGTTGCAAATACATGTACTGTTGACACTTTCCTATGGCGTCATAAAACCAGAAGTGGGGTGTTTTTCATGCGTTATTTTTTTTTTAATGACAAACGGGTATCCTCTCCGAACTAATCAGTATTCCCTTCCCTTTTTTGACTGATGACGTCATCAAACTGGAAATAACTTGTACGTGTACCTTAAATGTTCAATGTATTGATCAATGTACTGAAATTGATCATGTACATGAACCCTAACAGATGAATTTTTCAAAACAAAAGAAATGGCTGTACTGCAAAGGCTATATGTAACTTTCATGATCTTTTTGTTTCTGTTGTGACAGAAACATTTACAATTTAACTAGAACTGGTTTGTGTTAATTGTCTGCCAGACAACTCTGCGTTTGTAACCCAACAAACGCGAACTTGTATCTGTTTGAGCTTCTGCATTCAGTTTTTATAGACATTTTATTTATTATGACCAACCCTGCTATGCCCAGTGCAGTTGGCAAAGAGAATTATCAGACCTTTCAAAACATTTCAAATTTGCTCGACCAAAGGGTTTTGGAAGGTGAAATACATGTAGTGCTGGCAATTTGGGACTTTTTGAAAGGTTTCAAAAGGTGAAGCAACTCTGTAGTCAAATTCAGTAAGTTACTGGTCAAAGGGAAAACCGAATTGCAGTAAGCATGGGCTGTGATTACTGAGGATGGGGAAATCCAACTTGAGGGCCGTTCCATTTTATTCAAGGTGAGTATTCAGTATGTAAATGAAAAATTCTCTTGCTTTTATTATTATAAATATGCACCTGCTTTATTGCGAGAGACAGGTGTATTTGTTACATAATGTAACATAATGTTATATAATCTGAGACATGATAATGGGAGACGAGTGTATATAAGGCCACGTTTCAACAGTGTTAAATTTACCAGTCATTCCCTGGCAATCATCGAGTGACCACCATGAGTTTCCATGAAGCACACAACCTTCGAGAGAACCTGAGTGAGAGAGAGCTGCCGCTATTTCACTCAAAGATGAAGAGAGTTGTGAAGAAAAATCGAGCTGATGGGAAGAAAGACCCAACAAAGAAAGCAAAGAGGAAGAGCAAGAAAGGACTGCTAACAGAGAAAGTCAAGAAGCGGATGAAGAGGATGAAAAGAAGACGCCAGCCAGTGAGGGAAGACGTTGCTGGGCCCTCGAGTGCCATATCACCCGAGGCTTCTCCTGACCGATCTTCATCCCCTGACCAATCTCCAATGACAACACCCGCACACTCACCAGACCATTCCTGCTCAACATCGCCCGTCCACCCACCCACGCTTTCACCAGACCACTCCTGCTCCACATCCCCCGGCCACCCACCCACGCTTTCACCAGACCACTCCTGCTCCACATCCCCCGGCCACTCACCCACGCATTCACCAGTCGACTCCTGCTCCACATCACCCGGCCATTCACCCCCGCATTCACCAGAAGACTCCTGCTCCACATCACCCGTCCACCAACCCACGCATTCACCAGAAGACTCCTGCTCCACATCACCCGTCCACCCACCCACGCATTCACCAGACGACTTCTGCTCCACATCGCCCAACCACTCACCCACGCATTCACCAGAAGACTCCAGCTCCACATCGCCCGTCCACCAACCCACGCTTTCACCAGACCACTCCTGCTCCACCTCACCCGGCCACTCACCCCCGCATTCACCAGACCACTCCCGCGCCACCTCACCTGCTGACCAAACATCCACTGACGATGACTACACCACTGATGATGATGACGACGAGGACGTGAGGTACAGCCTTCCACCCGGCCACTCACCCATGCATTCACCACACTCGCCCGGCCACTCACCCACGCATTCACAAGACCATTCCTGCTCCACCTCACCTGCTGACCAAACATCCACTGACTACACCACTGAAGATGACGATGAGGACGTGAGGTACAGCCTTCCACCGGAGTACTCTCCCACCTCCTCTGCACCTGCCTCAAGTGAGGAGCTATCCCTTCAACACAGACTCGGAGTCATCGGAGGAGATCGCACCTAAACCTCCAAAGAAGGGTCATGGCCGGCCTAGAAAGCGACCCCAGGCACTCTCTGAGGATGACCCAGACCCCCCGTCTTCAAGAGACCCCGACTACCCCCGTGATCGTCATGGATGGACCAGGTCCAGAAAAATATCAACGGCGAGGGCAAGGATCGAGGGCAAGGATCGCTGGACAAGAACAACACCAGAAGAAATCAAGGCCCGGTTTGGCATACGCATCATCCAGGGAGTCCACTCCAACTTCAACATGGAGGACGACTGGTCAACCCACCCCGCCTTGAGAAACAACTTGATCTCCCGTACAATGACCCGTGGCCGATTTAACCTGCTGTCCCAGGTGATCTGCTGCACCAATCCCTTGAAAGGGCCACACAAGATCAAGGACAAGAAGAAGCTGCACGAATATTATAATAATAATAATAATAATTTGGGAGGCTAATCATCCTTACTCGCAGCTGGTATGCTGAATTGCGAAGGACGCAGTTACAACGTGGTCGGGCCGCTGGCACGTAAAGGCGCCTATGGCTGCCGGCCACATCGACCCATATATGACCACGGAGCACAGACTGAGTTTGAAAGTGTTTGATTTTTCTGGAGGGAGGAAAACACTCGTGGCACAGGAGAGAACCAACGCACAACTCTACTCACATGCGATCAGCGGCCAGGATTCGAACCGTGGTCACCTTGGTGAGAGGCGACCGCTTCACGCACAAGCCACCCTAAACAAACCCTATTACAAGAGCAATCCCTTGTACCAGGTGAAGATTGTCTGGGACACTGTCCTGCAGAGATGCCTGACCAGCTGGAACCCGGCCAAGCAGCTTGCCCTGGACGAGGCGATGATAAAATACAAGAGCAGCAAGTCTCAGGTCTGCCGCTTCTTCATGCCCCTCAAGCCAACCAAGATGGGTTGAAGGTGTATGCCGTCTGCGAGTCCTCTTCCGGCTACCTCATCAACATGATGATTCACTCATCGAGTGGCCAGAAAATGCAGACCATCTCAATGAAGATAATGGAGCCCTTCTTCGGCTGATACCACCGCCTGTATACCGACAAGCTCTATACCTCATCATCCCTGGCCAAAGATCCTGCTCGAAGACGAGACGTACATCTGCGGAGCGGTCAAACATACCTCTAATGGCCTGCCCATTGATTTCTCCACCAGTGCGGACATCAATCCCACCCTCCACCAAAAGATCGCTCAACTCAACAAGGCATCAAGGGGTACAATGCACTTCAGGCAGCAATGCCAGCTAACCATAGTCCTGTGGAAGGACACCAAGGTGGTGTCACTTCTTTCCACTTGTCACCAGGCGTACCGCGACCGAGTCAATGATGTCCTCACCAGGAATGTCAAGGAGCCAGGGAGCAAGTGCTCCAAGAAGAAGGACGTCCCCTGCCCTGCCCTCACCACGGACTACACCAGATACATGGGTGGAGTCGATAGAGCGGACCAACTGCGAGCCTACCACACCTGCAGTCGCCAGTTGATGAGGTGGTGGAAAAAGGTGCTATACTTCATCGTGGACATGGCACGGGTGAATGCGTACATGTGTAGATCTGCAGTAAGCAGTTCAGGCAGGAGGACAACCAGCCGGACACCCACAAGCATCGGCTGTTCACAGTAGCCATCGGGACATCACTTATTGCACTGAGGCTTTGCCGAAGGCACCCCCGCCTGCCAACATTGCTGCACCAGTGCATCAGGATGCCATCCAAGCACCCCAATACATTGTATGTGCATCGAGTGCCGAAGCGAAGGGCGCACAACAACGAAGGGGTATCCTGTGGTGACACGCACGGGTTGCATGAGTTGCAATATCTATCTTTGCCGGGAGGTCTGCTTCCTGAACTATCATGCTGCCGGGGGTGTCCACGTCGACTAGACACACTTCCATCCTCAGACCGAAGAGAACTATTTCCACTCTTCCATCCCCAAAAAATATGAGACAAAGAGAAAAAAAGAAAAACAAAGAAAATACCCCAGAAAAAAAGTCTATATTTGTTTTGAAATACTTTGTAAAAAAAGGAAAATATCCAAGAAAATAACGTTCATTTGTTTTGAAATATTTTGTATGCCTCTTCTATCCCCAAAAGATATGGAACAAATATATTTAAAAAAAGGAAGAAAATACCTAAACAAAAAAAGTTCACTTGTTTTGAAATGTTTGGCTGTTTTTTGGGGAGGGATACTTCAAAGCACTCGGCAGTTACTTTACCTTTTAAAAAAGTTCAACAGGTTTTGAAAAGTCCAACCATTTAGGCATTGCAACTGTACTGTTATTTGGTTGAACCATTGCTCCACCTTTCAAATCCTTCCGAAAGGTTTTGAAAGGTCTGACCATTTATCTGATACACTACCAATACCCTTATCATAGGGGTATATCATTGCCCGATTTGTTTACATTTCATGTTAATTGAAAGGTGTGGTAGTGCTGTAACAATAAATTCTGGAGGGTTTTAAAAGGTCCAGCATTTTTCCCTCCAATTTGCCAGCTCCCAGATTTGAGGGGTTTTGAAAGGTCTTACCATAGGAGAGTTAGGCGTATATACATGTACCAGTATACAAAGTGTAAATAAAATAGTTTTATAATACGTAAAGTAAAGATTAGTGGCCAGAGTTCATCCTTTATTACTGACCTACAATGACTCTTGATGTTGAAAGTTTTACCACATTAAAGTTTTCTGTTTAATTGATGTATATTGTAACGGCTTTAAACATGTTGAATATTCCCAAATTGTAACTTTGAGAAATTATTTCATTAGCTTCCATAAAATACATTTATTGTCGGCGCAATAATTAGTCCGAATGATGAATGTTGATTTTTTTTTCCAAATTCAGTTTTCCTCCAAATTTCTGCAAATCAAGCCCTGGAGTTTTAGGACGAGTTTCACTCTGTCCAAAACAGTCCTCTGTTCTTACATCGGATTTTGATAAAATAATTATTATTATCAGCTATATAATATAATTGTATAATAAACTGCAGATTCGTGGAAAGATAATTATTCTTTCGTGGCAAGATAATTATTCGGTTTTAGAAATATCTATTTTCCCCAATTTTGGTATTCCGTAGAAAACTTATTTCGGAAGCGATCTGCTGCCAATTCAGAGCCCCGTGAATTATCAACTTATATTAAATGCACTAAAGAGTACAAGAGAATTAAAAATCTGAACAAAATCTAATGTCCATTGGAGGGTGAGGAAATGTATAATTTAAAGAGTACATGTTGTAAAGCTAATTAATCATTAGGTAATAATATTTTAAGCAGCAAAAGTATACAAAAGCTGGCACTATACATCTAGGCAAAAATGGAAATCAATAAGTAAAAAAAAAGGCAAAATACAGCTATCAAAGAATCAATAATTGTTAGGAATGCACATCTTGTACATAGGCGTAGCCAGCCCGGGGGGGGGGGGGGGGGGTTAAGGGGGTATTTACCTCCCCAATATTTTGTAAAGACTGCCCTTTTCCTTTCAAATGCCCTTTTTTCAGCATCACTTTACCCCCCCCCCAATATTTTGTAAAGAGTGCCCTTTTTTCAACTCTCGCCCTTTTTTTTCAGAACAAGTGCCCTTTTCTGTCCCGTCGGCCGTTCTGGGTGCTTTTTTTGGTGAATTTCTCGCATGTATCGCCCTGAAAAGCACCATTGTCTATTATAATGTGGACAATCGTCGGTTTTAAACAGCGCCCCCATCGCCAGATGGTACCAGCCCCCCTCCCCCAGCCCCCACTATTTGATTTTACGGAGGCAAAGTGTCCAGGGGAAAAACATGTCTACATTGTACATCTCAGCACAGATATGCAAGTGCCCTTTTAAAGACATTTTTACCCCCCCCCCCCCCAAATAAAAATGACCGTGCTACGCCACTGTTGTATGTAAACACATTAAACATTTATGGAGTCTGTTGAAAACTACTGTGAATAGACATACGCAGAATAAGAGACTGCATGTGTGGTTGGCTAGTAGAGTCTGGATGAGTGATAATGACTGGAGCCGAAGGCGAGGGTCCTTATCAGCATCCAGACTCCAAATTCTTAAACATAGTGTTTAATACCAGTTAACCACACACTCATTCCAATTCATAAATGCCTAATTCCGGCGTGACAGACAGGACAGATTTACACTACCTTTTTTGTCAAAGGCCTGCCACAACCAATATGTAAGTTGTAACCATCTAAGTTATGTACAATGTCAAAGTAAACACTCTTTATTTCAAATAAAAAAAAAACAATCCAAGAAACTAGAAGATTCAGTGGCTGTATAGTTACAAAGTGAAATCAGCGTGACAGACGGGACGGAAACTACACTCCATATTTTGAAAACGACTTTCATTGGTAAAAGCTATCTGTTCCCCTGGGAAATTGATTTGTTTTCTTTTAAAATTAATAACTTTTATGCCAAAAATCAGTGACACTTGACTTAGTAATTCAAAATATGGAATTGGAAACACCACCAGGCTCATTAATGTTGTGACGAACAGGACGTGACAGACGAAACATTTTTATATGCTAACTAAATGTAGGCACAAGCATTTACATGTATTATTTGTAAGAAAGACATGTACATGTAGTATATTACAAACCAGAAGAGAATACAAAAAAGACGTATGTTTAACTTTTTTAACCTAGAGGTGATTGAAAAAATGTGACAGACGTGACAAAAATATAACAAAGAGGTAAATTGTGACAGACGGGACAGATTTTGAGGTGAAATATCAGATCAACTATACATCAAAGGATATTTTATTTTACTTTCTAGGTGAGGTCACCTCGATAGAAGATGGGAATCTAAGTTTGAACAAAAATTGTTTTCTTATAAAAAAAAAATACACAACTTTTTTATGTTTTTTTTTTGTGACAGACGGGACATTGCAACGTGATTTTGTCAAAAATGGTGCAAGACTTTCATGTTTCACCTTTTGTTTTAAAATTTTATTGTGGTGCATAGGGACGGCATGAGACTTCAAAGTCAACCAAAATACAATCTTCGAAGCATGA